AGTCACCTTATTAATGTCTTCCTGCAGTCTCTGCACGTCGTCGGCGCGGCTAATTGTTCTTCAGCTTTTAAAAGTCCTCTGAAAACATGATGGCACCGCAGTCAAGATCTGTAGTATAATCGTTTATACAGATGAGGAAGAACTGAGGACCCAAGACCGAACCCTGCAGAACACCGTTTTCTACTGGTACCCAGACGGAGGCAGTGGTGCCAACAATTACTCTTTGCAGATTACATGACAGGAAAATTTAATTCGATTAAAACTACTGCCCCTCATTCCGTACCGCCAAATCTTCTGTAGGCGTCATCCATGAGGTATGCTATCAAGGGCACTTTTGAAGTCGAAGAAGATGTCTTCAAGTAGGCTGCTCTGGTCTTTGGTTTTTGTCCATTTTTCTTGCGAGTGGAGGCTATTTTGAGGGCATAAGTGACCACGACGGAATCCATGTTGGGCAGCACATACAAGGTTCTTGTGCTCCAGATATGTCATTTAGTGTCCTTCAGCAAGTCGTTCCATGACCTTGCACAAAATGCAGGCCAAACTAATAAGACGGTAAGTTTCGGGCTCGAGCCTGGTTCCACCTTCGTATATTTAGGAAATAAATGCAGTTTTCCATGTCTCCGGAGCTCACCTCCTTCCATGTTCTTTTGACATGTCACAGATAACGCCCCCCCCCTCCCAAGTACTTCAGCCAATTCTCGAGGGAGAATTGGGGGAATTCTATCTGAACTAGGTAACTTGGCAGTCTTCAGTCGGCGCATTTCTGTCCTTACCAATGTAGGTGAGAATTAAAAATTACCTTTTAGAGCAAACGACAGAGGATTTTTTGTTCTCTATGGTAAGGGAGAGAAGGGTTTTTTCATGAGGGAATAACGACTGAAAGAAGCTGGATAAGACTGATGCCTTCATTTGGTCATACGTCTCCGTTACTCCGTTTTGGCTCCTTAGCGCTGGAATTTGACAAAGATTTATTTTGCCACTTTGTATGCAACCGTATTGGATCTTAGGATGTTACAACGAGCTCTGCAAAATGCATAGCTCACAGTTTCTTCGAAACATATAAGTCTCACGTCTGCACACACCGCTCTGTCGTTTGCATTCCTGGAAGCATTAAAAACTGTCCGTTAGTCGAAAACGTCCCTACACCTTATTTCTTCTCTTAAAGTCAATTTGTGGTTCCCGCATTATCTTTGGTGGACGGTTGTGCGTTTTCTTCCGTCGATAACTCCTCCCTGTAGTATGATTGTCCCCGATATTACTGAGACGTGCGTACGCATGCTGCAAAAATATCCTTTCCACACGTCTGTTTGCAACTGTTCAGGTAAAGCAGGTAAGGACAGCATGGAGTACGCGAAAAGCATTATCACATAATCATTGGCACCAAGTGGTAGGAGATCTTGCAAATCCAGCACAGCTTCATAATCTCGACTGATCAACGGGCCAAGGCAATTGTACTGGTGTCCCTCCTTGGCACGTGTACCGAAATATAAGCTTATAATTCTACGAGATCCTAAATTGGTAACCTTGACTCTCTCTGAGATTTTTTGACAATGAGCTTGAGCATGGGTGACCTACGTGCTAACTCCAAGGCCATTTAAGTCAGCCAGTCTCTCAACCGCCACGTTTATTGTGCTTTGTTGGCGTTGGGATGGATCAAGTTGTTGACGCCTTAAATGAAACTGTCCACGCAGCAGAAAATGTTACCAAGACGCAGACGGCCGAACTAAACTTTGAGTCGGCTATTGCATCCCTTGCTCTTTTTCTTATGGCCATAATACCAATTTATATCGGATCAAAACGTTCAGTGAAAGCTCTAAAATCTTCTCTTGAAAGAGAGGTAGTCAGTCGTTCTTTATCTCGTTATTTTTTGCAGAACACGGAGACTTTGGAAATTTTGTCTAAAGAAGATGCAATGAAGTTTCCCATATACGCCAGCATCGCCTTGTTGGGTATTTACTTAGTTTTTAAGGTAGATTGGTAGTTAGTCTTGACGTTCCTAGTTATTCGCTGCAAAATATATCAACCTGCTCTTGGCCGGATATTTCTTCATTCTCGGCGCTTCTACTACATTCTTTCTCATCAGGTAGCGGTATTTTGTTATCCATAAACGTCCTAGACCCTTTATTACTCGCCTCGTACCATCCTGTTTTCCTAATCTGAAGTATTCACTCACGCTGAAAGAGTCCTCACCG